GTTTTTGTTGATTTTTCGCTTTTCATTTTTTCGTGTGCGTGTGAGGTCTTTTTTTTTTCTTTTCCCACCCAGTCGCCCTTTTGCTCAAGGGGCCGAGTCTTTTTCGCTTCCTTGTTTTCCCTCTCAAGTAGGTATCAATCCTTCAGCTCTGGACAACAGGTCACTCGCTCGCTCGCTCATGGGGAATGGGGGACAGAGTCTTTTTCTTGGGTTTTGTTTCGTTTTCTGGTGTTTCTCTGTCGAGCACTTGTTCATCCATGATCCAGCCATCCATCTCCAAGTGCAAGCTAGCTCTTCTCGCGAGTCGCGACGCATCTGGCATCGCGCGTTTCATACCCTCATAGCAAGTCGTCACCATCATTTTTCTCATCATCCTTGACATGAATTCGTTTCTGCCATCACACGACCAGTATATCGCGTCGCATGCATTGCACTGTAGGCATTCTTGATCCACCATTGTTTTTCCGGAAAAGTTGCATCTGATCATCTCTTTCTCACCGTCGGTTTCACCTCTTGTCTCGAAGGGCTAGAGCGGTAACTGGCACCAAGTTGCTCAAGATTCGGGCTCTTCGTCAATCGTCTCATCAATGTGGAGCTGGAGGCGCTGGCCATGCAGGCGGTAACTGCGCTCGACAGCAGTGGTTTCGCTATTGGTGATGCGCTGAGGATATGGAGATCCGACAAGATGGGTGCCAAAGCCGGGCGTGGTGAGACGGCGAGGGCCTCGCTTGGGCGAGTAGTCAGTCTGAGGAACCGGCGAGTAACCTTCCCAGCCGGAACCGGGGCCACGATCCTCGGGGGGACCACGAACCACCGCCATGTCTGGGCTGGACGACGCGTCCGAGTAGCGGGTGTAGTTTGGAGAAGAGTGAGGCGCCGCCACCCCCGACCTGCTGACGACCTCGTCATCCTCGTCATCTTCTTCGATAGGACCGATACCAGCCGAAGGCACACGACCCATGATGCGTCGCAAAGGAGAGCCCCGCGCAGTTGTTGGACTGTTGGTCGGAGTCATGATTGGACTACGCATAGCCGCACGCTCAGCTTGGGTTGTAGTTTCGCCAAAGAGACCATCCAAGAATTCGTCGATGCCGTCGGCACGGTTGGTGTTGGCAGCACCGGCGTCAAGAGCAGAAGTGGGTTGCAAAGTTGCGAAGAAGTTTCCGTCGTCAGGAGAACGAATGGTAACACCGCGACGCTCACGATAGTTGTTGGGTCCTTGAAGCAAGCTCGGCTGCTCAGCAGCGGCATCAGTTCGACCAAAAGCAACGTTCAGAGGCGGCCCAAAGATTGCTGCAGCAGGTTGAAGGCGGATTCCTCCACCAGCAGTGGTGGTGGTAGCTGGTTCTTTACCTTTGCCTTTGTTGTTATTATTCCGAGCAGTGCTGATTCTCTGCGGAGAAGTAAAGTCACCGTTTCCCAAGCCTGCGCCGCCAAAGACCGTGCCGGTGCCCAAGGTAGAGTCCGAGTTGCTGGGATTATGACGGTGTCGCTGCTTCCAACCCGCCGGTGGCTCGAATGCTGGAGACTCTGGATTGAACGGCTGACCGAGAACAGTGCCTGAACGGGCGGTGCGCTGCTGAGGGAGCTCTCCGACAATCGTAGGTCCAGGCCCATTGGTGGTGTTATTGTTGCTGATACCTGCCAACTCAATGTTCTGCAACCCAGCTCCCAACCCCTGGATCTCTGCATCATACGCACCCTGTCTGTGCATGGGGACTTGCTGATCTGACGGTGGAGCCTCGCCAACCTGTCTGAGCACTTCGCGCATGGCCTTGAGTGCCTGCTCCGGATCGTCAATATTGTCAGCGTATTCTCCTTCTTCAATGTCGTCCTCTTCACAGAGAATATCGTCTGCATTCCACCCATCAGAAGAATACTGATCTTGACCGCTGTAGGAATTCGCGGTGGGGACGCCGGAACCAGATTCTTGACCATTGTTGCTGCTTCCAGTGCCAGTGAATGAATTGACAGGGTCGACATGAGCAGCACCAATGGTGAAGCCGTTGTTGAAGTGGCCTGTACCAGGATACTGCTGATGCACGGGTGTCGGTGGGTCAACGCCCATCTGGTCCATGTAAGCGTTCCAGCCAACCTTCATCATATCGGCCATGATTCGCCTCTCCAGCACGGAGAATTGTGCACGCTTCAGATCGAGACCGACCTCGGTAGGCATAAAGAAGATATGGCCCTCAGGGTCACGGACGACTTCGAGATATGGCTCGATGCCGATGAGTTTGCGGGTCTGCGACTCCATGACACCCATGCCAATGTTCAAGATTTCAAACCACATTCCAATGTCCTGGTCCGACAGATGGGTAGGGTGGACAGATAAGGTCTGAAATGGCCAGTAACGGGCATGCTTGCTGATGCGGAACCCACACGACAACGCCTGAGAGGACTCGACGATGTCTGCACGCTGGCGCTCGGAGAAGCCGGGGGCGTTGAGGCCGGCAAAGACGAAATCCATCAACAATTTGTTGTCCAGACCGACTTCGCGAGGAATACCTCTGGAAGAGTCGACTTTGACAATCAGCACGTCAAGCTGCTTCTTATACGCGTCGAACATGGCCATGACCTGACGGACGGTGTAGAGTCTGACGGAAAACCAAGGGAACTGGAGATGTCATGGTCAGAACAGGGTGTCTGTCTGGTGGGATGAATCAGTGCGAAATGGCTTACCTTGTACAAAGTACTGATCATACTCTCAAAGGTGCGTTGCATGCTCCGATTCGCGAATTGGGACTGCAAAAAAGCTGTCAGTTTGTTTTTGTTTTTTTGACTCATTGCGACAGTTCAACTTTTTGAAGAGAGAGAAACAAGAAATTCTAAAAAGGCTCACCCGCTGTGGATATTCAGCATGACGGACCATGCAGGTGAGTTCCTCGTTGGTCATGAAGCCCTTGTAACCCGACGAGAAGATGTCGCGGTTCGGCACCAACTTGGGGGCGCCATACTGCTCACTGTCAAAGTGGATGCACTTTGCGCGGGGGAACATGTCCTTCATCAACTCGCCTTGGTTACTCAGGAAAACCTCGACATTGCGCTGGCCAATCTTGGGGATGCGCATGAGCTTCAGCCCGAAGCCGTGTTCCCAATCTTGCTCGGCCGTGCGTGGCGCCGTAAGCTCGACGTAGCAATCCATCGTCTTTCCAGTCGAGCGTTCCATGATGATGTGGATCGGGTACCCGGACACGTGCGGCTCGATCAGGTGGTTCGAGGGGATGTACTTGCAGATGAACTGCTGCATCTCGGCGACGCTGATCGTGTAGGGGATCTGAGGGGGGCAAGATGGGACATGGTGAGCACGAGTCCCATTTGCGAACGACTGATCCAAACATGCACGCAGATGGAAGCTTTTGCAGAGGAGGACGAGGAGAGAGGGAAAAAGAACAAAAAGCCAGCCATCTTTGTGAGCCACCACAGGATTTGCTTGCCCTCCATTGATGGTCTGGGGTTTTTGCCCCAGAACAACACAACACAGCACAAAGTGACGGGCAGGTGACGGATCACTCGACGAACGCGAAAGACACAAAGAAGAAAGCAACGGCAAAGCACATATCAGAAGAATAGGAAACAAAACTCACATTCATGATCTTGAGCACACCATGACGGCGTGGCATTAGCAGCTGAGCTCGATCAGCAAACGGTGGCGGTGTGTTTGGGTCAAAGGGTACTGCCGGATCCGTCATGATGCGAAGAGGAACAGGTTGACTCGCTGGCAACGGCGGTGGTGCTTGATAAACAACGCCTGCTGAGAAGGGGTCGTTGTTTGGGATGTAGAAATTTGGAACTGAGGGTGTCGGCATGGTCAGGATTGGTGTTGCAGGCATAGCCCCATTCATCCCAGCCATGGTCAAACCGTTCATGTTCATGCTGCCAACGCCAACACCGTGCTGCGGAGCAAGATGAATTCCTGGATGGAAGTTGACAGGAGGAGGGGGAGGAGGCGCCAACGGTCCGATCGAGGGGTATGGAATTCGCACATGGCCAGAGGACGCGTGGTAGCCATGACCATCGTCATTTGGCACCGAACCGAAGCCCGACTGGCCTTCCATGGTGACAAGTTCTCAAGAGTAACGTTAAACACACATGAAAGAGGGGATGAGCAAGAGGGCGAGTGAGGAGGAAGAAGAAGGAATGAATGAAGCGAGAAAAGAAAGGTGTTGAAGGAGATGTTTGAGGAAGAAGAAGAGCAAGTGAGGAAGATGTCGAGAGAAAAGGGGGCTTAGAAGATTCAAAACAACGAAACAAAAGGAGGTCGAATGCAAGAGTGAGAGAAGAGATTTCCTGACCATAAATCAGATCGACTGCCCTGTTTCTAGTCCGCCGCAAAATATGGTGACAGGTCGAAGATGGTGAGTCGGTGTATTGATTCACGGCGAGCAAAAAGCCAAATTCTGGCCTCACTTGGCTGTCTCCCTATACAAATGAGAGATTCGCCTTGGCGCCTGCCACACCGCACAGTGTAAAACCCCAGGAGAAAGTCACTGGCTGTATGTCAGCAGTGTCGTTGGCTCGGGTGGCCGCCTGTGGGAAAAGTCGTTGTCCATCGCTGCTCGCGGACCTGAGCATCGGCACAGGAAAGGACGAACAAACTGGGGGCCCTCAGACTCCCACCTGGTCTTTCAGGGGGATCCGTCTCGATCTAGTCATCACAAAACCATTTCTGTAACGTCAGCATATGGGAAAGAAGGTGGTTTCCGAAAAATGAATATTGTATTCAGCATCTCCAGAGACCAGAATGATCAGAACCATGACACTAGTCCAGCAGTTCATTGTTCATCATCGGATATTGCCCATCGTTATCGCTAATGCTGCTCCAAACACTCTGTGTGACTGGTATGTCGTTGGGTCGTAGTCACATGATCTCAGGGGTCGTGGTCCATCTGCAGCCTTGTGAGCTCAGCCAGAATGGCTGTCCTCGCAATGAGACCCGCCAACACGACCACTTGAGCACGATCCGCGCTCTTGCGCTGTTATATTGTCGACTCTTAAACCTAGTCGAACTGCACCCTGTCAATAATTGAGGAGTGGCTGACAACTCAAGGGGCTTACCGGAGTCAAGAATGATTCAGCCACAAAGCGAGCACGGGCGTTTAGCTGCAGCCTGAATCAGTGTATGCCCGCAGACTGTAATTGGGCGTTTATGACTTACGAAGAGCTTCATCTCTGAAATTTCTTTGTCGACTTCCTCCATGAATTGGATAATGAAGTCCACCAACTTATGCTTGAGCATTTCTTCCGTATGCGTGTTCGTGATCAAGAACGAGATATCGTAACCCTACAGCTTGTCAGGTCGCGATCTGTTGGTGACGCCAATGCCACCCACCTTGACTGGCTTCCGTCGTAGAATGAAGAAGGATTCGGCACGCTGAGTAAGGAAACGTGTGAACTTATGGACCAGAATATTCTCAATCTCGTCGGCCTGCTTTATTCTGATGCTCACTCGCACACTGTTGACGCTGGGTTCTATCAGGACTTTCTCGTTCTCATTGCGGGCAATCGTCAGAGGGTTTAACAGGACTTCGGGCGAACTGGCTGCTTCGATCTCGGGGACATTGTGTCTTTCTGAGGCTTGTGAAGCGAAGTTGGAGAGAGAGAGAGCGGCGGTCAGAGAAGAACGGACACATTGAAGATACGGCCGCAGTGATTGGGACTGATCTCAATAGTCAGCAATTTCCACAAGCCAGATATCGAGTTGAGATGGAGCAGGCACACCATCTTCAATGCGCTCGCTCAATCGAGATTGGGAGCAGAGCCAAAAAAAATTCACCGGTACATGGACACTGGGTTGGATATGGAATCGAGACTGGTGTTCAGTGTGCTGTTTTGGTTCTTTGACACACAACTGGAGGATTGTTGCCTTTGGACTCAAGTTGAATGTCAAAGGGACTGTTTGGAGGGGAACTGCCCGCAAGATCCGTCATCCACAGGCGCGGCTGGTGTCTCTGCGCTCACCTGCGGCTTCAAGGCTTGGCACTGGCCTTGTTTGGCGGGGAGCAGGTGACGTGCTGTTTTGTGCCTGACGAGCCTTGCATCTTTCGCCGCCTTCTAACAATTTCCAAGCATTTTGTTTTCCTTCTACTTGTCCTTGCACTTTCTCGCATAAGACTTCTCGTCTCCTTCCCGCCTTTTGTCTTGCAGAATAGACTAGCACAAAGATGGCGACCATTCCTAGTAAGTTGTCCTGGGAGTGTCCCGTAAACAAACCGCGGTTACTGACATCTCTCAGTTGTCATCAAGCACCAGGGCAAAAAGTACGATGTCGAGCTGGACCCCTCATCAAACGGGGAGATGCTCAAGCTCCAACTCTTCTCTCTCACCGGCGTCGAACCTGAGCGACAGTCGGTCCTGATCAAAGGCGGAAAGCTAAAAGACGATACTGAGCTATCCAAGCTCAACGCGAAACCCGGCCAGATCTTCACCATGCTCGGTACCGCGTCTGGCGAGAGCAGTGCAGTCAACGCACCCGCTGAGAAACCGAAATTCGTTGAGGATATGACCGAGGCTGAAGCCGCCGCTCAAGAAGGTGCTATTCCAGCTGGCCTTCAGAATCTCGGCAACACGTGTTATCTGAACTCCACTCTGCAAGTTCTTCGGAGCATACCTGAAATGCAAGACTCGTTGCAGATATATAAAGCCGATCGGGCCACAGGCGTGAGCCTACAAGATCTGAGCCGTCTCGGCCTTAGTGGCATCAGCTCAAACAACGACCTGACTGCGCAACTCCGAGATCTCTACAAACAAATGTCCAAGACGCAGGAAGGACTCCCACCCTTGGCATTTCTAAACACTCTTCGTAATGTCTATCCTCAGTTTGCCCAGAAAGCAAAGAACGGGCAAGGATTCGCCCAGCAAGATGCCGAGGAGGCATGGTCACAGATAATTCACCAGCTGAGACAAAAGCTCAAGATCACGGATAAAAGCACCCAAGAACAAAAAGATATCGCATTCATTGATCGATACATGGCCGGTTCATTCCACTCCTCACTCGCACCGCCTCCAGAAGTTGGAGACAGCGAGCCAGTTGTCGAGTCAGACGACCCCTTCCTGAAATTGGACTGCCATATTGACCAGTCAATCAATCATCTACGAGACGGTATCCTGGCGGCTTTGACCGAAGACATCGAGAAGCACTCGCCGACACTGGATCGAGATGCCAAATACATCAAGACCTCTCGCATATCCCGGCTTCCCCAGTACCTGACCGTACACTTTGTTCGATTCTTCTGGCGGAGAGACATACAGAAGAAAACCAAGATCATGCGGAAAGTCACTTTTCCCGAAGAACTCGACATCGTCGAATTTTGCACAGATGATCTGAAGAAGCGGCTGATCCCTGTTCGTGACAAGGTCCGAGACATTCGCAAGGATGAGGTGGATGTCGAGAGGGCCAGGAAGCGACAGAAGCTGGCTCACAAGCAGGAGGAAGATAGAAAGCATGATGAAGCGATGAAGGGTGTAGAGGCTGCTCCTATTGCAAAACTCCGAGAACAAAAGGAGAAAGAGGAAGGCAAGAAAAAGGAGCAAGGTGGCGAAATGGATGTATACAAAACAGATGCAGAGTACGAGGCTGAACGAGCTGCATCCATCAAGCAAGCCAAAAAAGAACTTTACGCTCTCATCGATCCGGAGCTTGCAGCAGACGAAGGGTCGAACAAATCAGGATTGTACGAGCTCCGAGGCGTCATTACTCACCAAGGCGCAAGCGCCGACAGCGGCCATTACACCAGTTTTGTCAAGAAGCAAGGCAAGCTGGTAGATGATCCCAAAGCGCCTGGGGGCAAGCGCAGAGAAGAGGATGGCAAATGGTGGTGGTTCAATGACGACAAAGTCAGCGAAGTCGATTCGGACAGGATCATGTCTCTCTCCGGTGGCGGCGAGAGCGCTTCTGCACTCATTCTGCTTTACCGAGCCATCGATCTACCCACCTTGGATGAGATTGAAGAGTAGCTGGGAAAGTCATGGACAGCCGCATTTTCTGGTTGCGAGCACCGATGTTGCATTAGCCTAAATCAACAACAGAGCATAGTTAGACAATAGACTGCAAGCGCCGAGAGACAATGAACAACTTTTTCAGGGAGTACCCTCCATGACCCAGTAGGCCATCGTTAATACTTTTGAAGTGACAACCGTGACAACCTACCAGAATATATTGACGTTCCTGACTCACGTGCTTGGAAAACGCCTCTTACCTATTTAGGCTATTTCTTGGCGCCCACCAGTTGGAAACTTCAAATCCATCACCGCGGAACTGCGCCTTTGCCATCATTCATTCCATCAACGTCTACCCTTCAATCTGCGCTTGAAACCCTACAAACCATCCATCAGCTCAGTTGAAATCGACTCACAATCATGGGTAAAGTTCACGGATCTCTCGCTCGTGCCGGCAAGGTCAAGTCTCAGACTCCCAAGGTGAGTAGCAATGAGCAACACTTCCTTCGACGCCGCAACGCCACTCCCAGTTAAATTTCGTGTTGCAGCAAGCTGTGCGATTGGCAGCAAATATCAGACTTTGAGACTTACAAAATTTCTGTGCAGGTTGAAAAACAAGAAAAGAAGAAGACGCCCAAGGGCCGCGCGAAGAAGAGAATCACATACACCAGACGGTTCGTTAACGTGACGATGACTGGTGGCAAGAGAAAGGTATGGATGCTATGGACACCGCAATGAGGATCGCGGCCAAAGAATGGGATGCTGATCGTTGATTTCCCAGATGAACCCCAACCCAACATCATAAACGCCAATCTCCATACCCCGTGGTAGTCGACGCAAGCTGCCAGACGATGAAAACGATGACGCTGCCATGTGCAGTGCAGAAGTGATGTGGAAGAGGGAGCTGCAGTCTGCGAGGACGCCAAATACGATGGAGAGGGCAAAATGGGTGGCATATTGTCACCTTCGGAAGTTCTGAATTGCATTACACGTGGATCAATGCATAGATTCCCTAGAGCCGAGAGCAAACGCACCGGCTTGAAGATGGGATAGTTGGCCATGGTGCTGATCAATAAGAGGCGTTTTAGATATGGGCTGGTACATATCGACGAATTATCCAAATTCCTGTCTCGCATTCCATCTCCCTGTTCTCGCTTTCCCTTCGTTTCAAGCCACACATTTCACTGCATGGGTGTTTGCTGTGTTACCGCTTCCTCGAGCGTAAGATCGCTGTGGAAATCCCGCAGAAGACCACGGTGATTGTTTGCCAGGACTGATTGCTTGCGCTTTATCATGTAACCCGTCACGGTATATCGTATTTAGAGAGCATACGATAAACTGCAAATGCTTAGGTATGCTCGAGACCTGCCCCAGGCTTTAAGACGGCCGCATAAGAATCGTAGGTCTCGCGTATTTCGACGTTGTCGATGGCTCCAGCAATCCTCGTCGCCAAGGACAAATGGGCGCAGATTCGCTGCTGTGCGACAACCACCAAATCTTTTTCCACTTGCCAACATACATAGACCTTTCCCACTGCTCCTTTTCCGAAGTCTGCTTGCTCCCCATAGAATAGTCTGGTCAATCAGCACAATTTCTGATTTTTCCTTTTTCTCGGTCCTTGCCTCCTCTCTCAGATCTTTGCTCGCGCCTAGCTCCCTCGTGCGGGCGGGCAAGGAACGCCAGAAGCTCCTTCTGCGACGAACCCTCTTCCGATGCAGGCGCTTCGCCCTGTCCTGCTTCGTCGAGCAACGCGCACATTTCCCACGAAGGGCATCGCTCGGCCCTCTCGCACTGGCTGCTGGCTCAGTGGCCGGCGAGCCCAGCACGACCACCATGGCCCTCACAAAGAGTACTTCCAGACGCCCGGCCAGATGCCCGTCCCGGACTCGACGCCCTACACGCCCGGTCAACCTTACACACCGCGGATCCAGACGGTGACGACGCCCGAGTCGAGGGCTGGGGGCATCTCGCTCTTGACGAGCTTCAGCCGGTCCGTCTTCTGGGCGGTCCTCTTCGCATCCTTGGGCGTCACGGCCGGCACGGCCTTGATCACATGGGAGTACCTCCAGCCGCCCTTCGAGCCCGGGTCGCCTGCAGAACAAGAACTCTACGACGAAATCCTCGACGCGATGGAACTCCACCCCTTGGTCGATTCGCTGCGGCAGGCCAATTGGATAGAAGATAATTACTACGCTGCGGCTCACGGTGGCAGTCTTGGAGGCGGCGGCGGATTCCAGAACAGAGGGTTACACCTCGTGGCCGAGACACTCCAGGGGACGCAAGGTGTGAGCATGAAGACATTCAAGCACCCGACTCAGGAATTCACCATCATGGTCTGCTTTCTGGGTTTCGGCGTCGAGGGTTGGCCGGACACAATTCATGGCGGGATGATTCTGACGATGATCGAGGAGGGCATTCAACGACAGATCCACAACTTCTACGACAATTATGGGAGTCAGAAACAGCAGAGCATCTCCATTGATTTCAAGAGACCGATGCGGCCTGGTGAAATATACGCCGTGGTCGTCCCTCCCGCCCAGTTGGAACCAGATTCGGAGACAATGAATCTCCAGCTGATGCCCATGGTCGTGAGGATCGAGGCTCCCCCTAGGATCACGCCTGAGTTGCTCACCATCGAGTTGCCGTCAATTGATGAATTGCATGCAGTGGCGAATGTCCAGGTCCGACTCGTGCCAAACAAGAATGAAGAGGGGTCAGCGGAGCTCGAGGGGGTTGCCGCCTCGAAAAATACTGACTGATTACATCGGAATCGAGGCAGCCCATCTCCTGTGTATTGAGATTGTGGCCAGCCATCAACTTCACACTTTCGACCAACAACACAAGCGTCACGGCGAAGATTTGACACTAGAACCCCAGGTAAGCGCTTGTTGTCTGCGCAATACACCGATTGGACTCTGGGCTCATGATTTGGAACAGATTTTCCCGATCTTCAAAGTCAGCGAGGTGGCCAGAGCATCTGGAACTACATCGAAAACATCTGGTCGGAGTGCCGGTCGTTCAGCGATCCGAGACAGCATAAATCTGGGACAACGTTCCTTGTACAGTTGGGTTGCGAGTCATGACAGACCCCCTGCCGAGGATGACAAGCTATGTAGAACCCTTCTCATTTCCGTTGATTGCTGTTGGCGACAACTGGCGATGGTGTGAGGAACGATTCGATGCTCTCGACACGTGGTTTGCCCAAACTAGCGATCAAGAGGGCGGTCACACCTCCAGCTGAACTCCGGGTTACTTTCGCTCGCTGCGGGTTAACTACTCGGTACAGGTAAGGCTGGTGCCGCCAACGGACTGTGGGATCGTGCAAAAAGAGCGTGGCAAACGACCGGACTGGTGCCCAGATTAGGCGATCGCATGGGGAGAGTTTCGGATTTCTCCCTAAATGGGTGAAAAATTGTCGACCTGCATGAGACATACCGAGGCGCGTTCAGAGTCGGTAAATGACGACTGTGACAATTTGGCGCCCGGGAAATGGTATTTTCACAATCGTTTGTGGGTTGAGACAGGTATTCGGTGCTACAGGCACCCGGGATAAGGAAAGATGCCCAGAAGCCCGTGATTCATGTTTTCAGAGCGATGTTGTGACGGTAAATTGAGGTCGAATATGGCTTGGAGTGTCGTTAAGGCATCGAGTCGCGTGCGAATGTATCTTGTGTAAATCATGCTCCTCGAAGTTGGTCTTTCCCAGGATGGGCCTCGGTATCTGGCCGGCTATTCACTGGTAATAGTGCAAGAAGTTGCTTTACCGACTATTGAACCAATTTGGATGTTTGTCCGTGAAGTAGATCGGCGACCGACCAGTGCTTGCAACCTCTTGTCACCTCCAGAATCACTTTTGCGGAGAAGTGGACCACTGGCTCATTTTGGCCCCAGTAGTGTCCCGCTTTCGTGGATCCTTTGAGTTGTCCTCGTCTGCAATACCCCAGCATTCATTCCGCAATGTCGGGGTGGTGGTGGAGAGTGGCCGAGTCGATGATACCTACAAGCCCCGAGGACAAAGCAGTGCGTGACGAACACGAATATGCTCGAACCGCTAGATAATAGGACTGGTTTGACTCGATTCGATGGCTGCGAAAGGGGTCACCATTTCCGAGACCAGGGGTTGCATGATTCAAGCGTTCAAAGCGCCGCCACCTTCCATCTCTTGTTCTGACACCCCCGCATTCCATTGGCGTTGCGGCGCAAATACCTGCCTTTGATGCGTCTTGCAGGTCGGCTAGGGGAGCCCGAAAACGAGGATTTGCCTCGTATCACCCTCAATGCCTAGGCAAACGGGTTGTAAACAGGCATCCCTAGGGCCTTGACAAAGCCTAAACGGACCACACCGATAGCCGACGGAGGCTCAAAGATCCTGCCGACACTTCAGGGAGAACGTGGACAAGTAGCGAGCCAAGCGAATCGAGCTTGTCCGGAGTATGAGGTAAACGGTTCGAGATGAGCCAGGCTTGAGTTTGTGTGTTTGAGAGATGACAGAGCGCAGGCTGGGGGGACAAGAGTGACTGGGAAGAAGGAAAGAAGTGCCCTTCCCACCCCTTCCACAGGAGGTTCAACCGCCTGGAGGCTTCCTTGGTGCTCTTTCTCCAAGCTGCGGTGTCTCTGTTCCTTTTATTTTTCTTGCCCTATTCTACTACTTGACCCCTAGTTCTCTATCAATTCCCAGTCTCAATTCAGTCACTCAGATTCTTGATCTTACTTTTCCCTTTCCTGGTGCGTCTGATTCATCCTGCTTGAAAAAGCACATAAGCTACTGCTAGTCCTGCAGTAACGCTTTGTGACTAACCATCCTCTTCCTTCTTCTTCCGCCTAAACCCAACCTTGTCTTTTCACGCCCTAGGGATGGCCCATGCGCTGAGTGCATATCACCACCGGCTTTGGCGTCTCCGTTGAGTTACAAAGCAAAAGTCAAGTCGAATCAAGGCGACCTACCGAGTACATGGCAACCCACCATCATCCTCGTCGTACAACTGCCAATCCCCACCCCGACAACTGCGCCCCATCGTGTATCCGCCACAGAGACAAGTGAATGACTTCGACTTCTGCCTCTTTTCGCATCGATCCACCCTCCCACTGGCCCACTTCAAGACGCGGAGGACAATCCATTTCATGAGCCCTCCACACCCCACTGCTCTTTCCAGTATCGAGATTGGTAACTTCCAGTGCCTCCCCAGTCACCAGCAGATTTTAGTCGACAGGACTTTGACCTGACTCAATGCTTCGGCTCCCTCCTCCATGCTCTGGCCACCCACTCTCCGCGGTTCCCGTGCGAGTCTCGCCCACTCCAGCCGTCCTCCGACCCTCAATCCCCAACCCTCTCGAGATAAGTTGAAATAGGTCGTCGGAGTAGCGCATGAAGAAGCATACAAGGACTGCCGCGGTTGTGTGAACGCACGTTCCGACTTGATCGTCCTAGTCCATCTTTCGCTCGCGAACTACATCAATCCCTCTCTTCCCCATCTCGTTGTCTGATTTTTGGCTTCCCTTCACCTCCCTGTCTGGTGTGTCCCAGTGTCGAATCCGCCCTGAACAATCCCCCTTTACCAACCCACTCACCTGCCTGTCTGCGTTGCCCATCATGACTGCTCAGGCAGACAGCTCAAGTGACACCGTGCCTTCTCCTGTCGACAAGGACCCTTCCTCCCATATCGAGCAAATCCACACCAACGAGAGAGTACCAGGCCATCCTGGCTACTATGAGAAAGACGGTCTGCGGACCTATGGTGACGATGAAGACCATGACCACGAACCACCGGTGAGTGCAAGCCCGTGCCAGTCTTGCGGTGATCATCCCTGTCGATACTGATCGGCCCTCCTTTAGATGACCATTTCCAGGGGCCTCAGCTTGGTTGCTATGGCTTTCTTGTGGACTGGCTCCCAAATCCCGGTATACATCCTCGGTGGTGTGCCACCATATATTTATGCCGATATTGGTGGTGTTGACCGCTGGATCTGGTTCGTCCTGGCTTACCTGCTGGCTTTGGCCGCTATCTGCCCCTTTGTCGGGTCGATTTCCGATCTCATTGGAAGACGGTGGGTGGCATTGGGAGGCTCCGGGTTGCTTGTCATTGCCATGATTATCTGCGGTACAGCGCACAGCATGGCGGTGTTTATCAGTAAGCATCAGTTGTCCCCCTCACCTTTATACCAGGAGTCTGACCAGCTCTCCTTTCCTAGTGGGCATGACTTTCTCTGGGATCGGAGCCGGCATCTGTGAACTTACCTCCCTTGCTGTCACGTCCGAACTCGCCCCAACACGGAAGCGAGGGAAATATGTCTCCATCCTCGTCTTCACCATTATCCCTTTCTGTCCATCCGTCCTCTGGGGCCAGTTGATTGCCGCATACGCTGGCTGGAGATACTGCACCCTTCTCTGCGGACTATGGGCATGTGTCGGCTTCGTCGGCACCTTGTTCTTCTATTTTCCACCGCCGCGGCCCAACTCACGGGGTCTTTCTAAGAAGGAGGTCATTTCCGAGATCGATTTCATCGGTGGTTTCCTCTCGATCACGGGTATGATCTTGTTCCTGGCTGGTCTGCAATGGGGCGGCTACCAGTACCCATGGCACTCTGCGCATGTTCTGGCACCTCTGATCATTGGTGGCTTTTTCCTCCTCATCGCATTCCCCATCTGGGAGATCAAGTTTGCGAAATTCCCAATGTTCCCGTCACGGATGAAACAGGAAGCCAGAATCCTCACACTCACTCTGATCATCACCGCTATCTCGGGAGCAAACTTCTTCTCCGTCATCATGTTCTGGCCTACCCAGGCCTTCAACGTCTATGGCCATGATCCGGTCGGAGTTGGCGTTCGAGGTATTCCCATTGGCTTCAGCATTCTCGCGGGCGCCTGCATCGTGCTATGGCTCCTTTCCGTCTTCCGGGGCCATAATCGCGAGTTGATGATCATCTCCTCGGTGCTCATGACTGCCGGTTGCGGCGCGCTTGCAGTCGCTACTCGAGATAACCTGCATACTCTCTGGGGTCTTCTGGTTCTGGCCGGTCTCGGTATCGGCGGTATCGTCGTGCCTGCATCAATCATGACCACGATCATCTGCCCGGACGACATCATCGCCACTGTTGCCGCGCTTACCTTGTCAATCCGTGTGATTGGCGGCTGTATTGGGTACACCGTCTACTACAATGTCTTCCTCAACAAGTTCGTCCCTAACGCCACAAAATATATTGGTGGCACCATGGCACTTGAGCTCGGCATAACGAACGTTACATATATTGGCGAGGCCATCGAATATACTGCAGCGAGTCTCCTGCCTCTGCTCAAGACAATTCCTGGAATCGCCGGTAACGACACCGCTTACGAAATGGTCGTCGTGGCGGGCCAGGTTGCCTATGCCGAGTCATACAAGTACGTGTACTTGACGAGTATTGCATTTGGCTCGATTGCCATCTTGGCCAGCGTCTTTTTGGGGAATATCGACAAGTATATGGACGACCACGTCGCTGTCGTGATGCACTGAGCTGCGGCAAGCTTTGTCGAGGAAGGGGAAATGTCCTCGGGAGATCTGTTGTTAAGAGTGCTGCAGCAATGGATCTTGGAGAATGGTCGATTACCAGGCACGTCTCCGAGGGGAAACTCTAGTCTGGTCCGTCGAAAGATTACACCGATGGTAGATAGACATAGGCTGGCATAAAATATAAGAATCTCGTCCATATTGATTCGATTTTCTGGGTATTTGTTCAGTATTTCCATGAGCCACAATGCTGGGAAGAGGGGAGAATGGGGGGA